GGCTGGAAGAGAGACGATCGGATTGGATACCGTGCTGGATCACACAAAGGAGGAGCATGGAGGATATTGCTTAGACACCAAGTTAACACAAACATCTCGGGGGAACATCTGTCACAGCGAAACAATGTGGACCTTGGATTCAATCGGGCGACACATTAGGAGCTGTGGGGGGAAACAAAGGTATGGATGAAGTTAATTGTAAAGACTGTGGGAGTGCTGGAAGGGTGGTAAGAACAAGGGTGCTCGAACATGAGGGTCGAGGTAGGACCCCTAGTGTGGGGCATTGTGACAACAAAAATACAAATAACTGTGATGCATGTCGGAGGAGTGAAAGAGAGAAATACCCTGAAGAGCACAGGAAGAAGAATCAACTTAATAACGTGAAGGACACTCTAACTTGGGGAAATACAGGACGTTCCCTTTCTGTCTTGAGAGCAAAAGAGAATGGGGAGGCAAGTAATAACATGAATGTAAGTAAGGGTCACAAAAAGGAATCATCAGATGTTGTGAGGCAAGAGTCAGTCGGCTGGGACCAGTCACGAGGTCCATGTGCCGAATGCAGGCACGGCTGCATTTATAAACAGGTTTCCCCACTGGTTGGTTTATACCCTGATGATGATGGCAGATTAGCCATCAAAAGCTTGGTTATATTTATTAAAAACCATATGGCAATTAAGTGCCACTGCAATGGTTTGGCTTTGCAATACCTGTTATATCCAGGGCTTTTTGTCTTATAGAACACCCAGAACGGAGTTCCGGCACTTTTTTTGGATGGAACCTTGTAGGGTAGGCAAGGCGGATTGTATGACGTGTGTGAGTTCTGGCACCTTTTTTTTTTTTTTTGAGAAAAAAAGCACTGGTTATATCAATACTATTATAGTGACTTTACTAGCAGCAGTTGTAACGGGATGTGGACCTGAAGGAAAAGTAGGGGAAGACTTTTGGCAACATAGAGTTTTCCCAGAGAAAGGGGTGGATTAAGAGATTCTGCAATCCCAAATTGGATTGGGGGGGAGGAAATGTTTCTCATCCCTCATCCTTCTCATGATATATCTAGCAGGATAGAAGCTTTAGTTTGGCAAGATTCTGTTGATTAGATATCAGCAAATAACGATTGGATTTCATTGGAATTTAGTGTTGTCTCTGGGCTTGGGCCTGACAGACATCAGGGCATTTTTCAAATCCATTGCTTAGCAGAATGTGGGTGAAGAATAATGTTAAATGAACTCCAATGCACTTAACTGAAGCTGCCAATAACTTAGGGGATTAATTTTAGTCTCAAAAAGTTTCCTTTCAGACTATTTCCGGCAACTAACTAATTCTACAATTTTTTCTCTGTGGACTTTTACATTTTCACCTGTCTGGACTATGCAGAAACAGGATGGGTATCCTGTGGTGTGGTTGCTAACTTTGACCCTAAGACTATGAAAATTTTATTATTCCCCATCCCAACATCCAAAACAGGGGAACAAAGACTGAGAAATGTCTATCTTTTTGTAACAATGTGAAATGCTTCCCACATAGTTGCTAGTTTATCAGCCCACTTCTTGTTATCTGCACAAAACTCTTAACAGAATAACAGAGTTGGAAGAGACATTTGAAGTCTTCTAGTCCGACCCCCTGCTCAAGCAGAAAACTCTATACCAGTGGTTCTTAACCTGGGCGATATTGCCCCCCAGGAGACGATTTCATTTTTCAGGGGGGCGATGGAAAGAAGAGGGGCGACGCGGGGGCGAAGGAATGAAAAGGGGCGACGCAGGGGCGAAGGAGCGATAAGTTTTGGGGACACTTTTGAGACTTTTTCGTACAGTGAATCGCTGTATATCTGTCATACAAAAACATCAGATCGCTCGCTATTAGTGGATTGAATTGTGTTTCCAAATATTCCTCCAGCTATCTTCAGTACAGAAGGCCGTACATATGTGAATACGCATCACTTATCTTCATGCGCATTGCGCAGCAGCGTCTACCCATGCAGTGGCGAGCCATTGGCCAGAATATGGGATATATGGGGAAAATATATACTGGAAATAAATTATTTGCATTGATATGTCCTGATGACAATTGTAAAGAATACAAAAAAAGTGTTTGCATAAATCGAAGAATTATTTCCTATGTTGTGATTGAGAGGTTATGTTGGGGGAGGGGGCGATGACAACTTCCTCATTGGCTCAAGGGGGCGATTCATTCAAAAAGATTAAGAACCACTGCTCTATACTACTATTTCAGACAAACGTTGCCCAGTTTCTTTCTAAAAGCCTTCAGTGTTGGAATACCCACAATCTCTGGATTCAAGTCGTTCCACTGGTTAATTGTTCTAACTGTTAGGAAATTTCTCCTGAGTTCTAAATTAGTTCTCTCCTTAATTAGCTTCCATCCATTGCTTCTTGTCCTGCCTTCAGGTGCTTTGGAGAATTCTTCTTTGTGGAAGCCCCTTGAATATTGGAGTACTGCTGTCATATTATCCCTAATCCTTCTTTTCATTAAACTGGAATACCCAATTCCTGCAACCTTCCTTTGTATGTTTTATCCTCCAGTTCCCTAATCATCTTTTTGCTCTTCTCTAGAGTGGGGGTGTCAAACTTGCCATATCACATGACGTGTCGCAACGTATTGCGATTTTTGTCTCCTTGCCAGAGCTGGGGGTGGGCGCAATTTCCACATGATGCATCCGGCCCACGGGCTAGCAGTTTGACACCCCTGCTCTAGAGACTCACTATCTTTTTTATATTGTGGCAACCAGGTGTGGTCTTACCAAGGCATTATAAAGTGGTGTTAAAACTTCAGGTGTACTCGATTCTATTCCTCTATTAATACAGCCTAGGACTGCATTGGCTTCTTTCGCAGCTGCAGCACACTGCTGGCTCATATTTAAATGATTGTCCACTAGGATCCAAGATTCCACTCACAATTACTACTATTAAGTCAAGTACTATTCCATATGTATGCATTTAGTTTTTCTTCCCTAAATGTAAAACCTTATTTTTCTCTACACTAAATTGCATTTTGTTGGATACGGCCCAGTGTTCAAGTCTGTCAAGATCCTCTGTATATTTTCTGGACCATTGGCTGCCAGCTTGATGTCATCTGCAAATTTTAGCCTCTTATCTAAATCATTGATGTAGATATTGAAGATATCTTAGATGGACCTAAGACAGAGCCTTGGGGTACCCCACTGCATACTTCCTTCCATGCAGAAGTAATTTCACATGTTGAATGCAGTTGGTCAGCCAGTTACAAATCCATCTGGTGGTAGTCTGTCTAACTGATATTTTCCTATCAAATAGTAGGTGATGTCAACTTTATCAAATGCCTTACTGAAGTCTAGGTACATTATATGTACAGCATCTCTCTGGTCCACTAATTTTGTCACTTTGTCAAAAAATGTAATAAGATTTGTCTGGCAAGATCTGTTTTTGACAAGCCCATATTGGCTTCTGGTTATGATTTTGTTTGCTCTAGGTGTGTGTAGATTCACTGCTTGATTATCTTTTCTAGAATCTTTCCAGGTGTCTATGGAGATTCTCAGTCATCTAGGTCATAGTTATTCCAAAGATGCTTTTTCACAATACAAATAAACTTTCTTCAAGAAAGCCCAGTTGTCTTGTGAAAAAGCATTTTTGGGATAATCTTTCCAGTTACTGATGTCAGATAGATAGGTCTGTAGTTCCCTGGATCCATTTTTTTCCTTTTTAAAGGAAAAGGGTTCTTATTTTAAATCTCTCAGAAAGTGTCTGATCCTATGGATTTTAACTGTGGAAATAAATTCCATCCAAATTTAGTGGGAATCAATCCCCTCCCAAGTTTATAAACAGATTCATTAGAGCTACTACAGTACTACAGTATTTGATTTACAACACATGGGACAAAACATTTTGTTGCTAAGAAAAACAGTTGTTAAGGGAATTGTGCCAGATGTTAAGACTTTTTTGCCATGGTTGTTAAGCAAATTGCTGTAGTTGTTAAGTGAATCATGTAATTGTTAAGTGAATTCAGATTCTACCACTGTCAGAAGACCACAAATGGCAATCACTTCATTCTAGAATGCTGTAATCATCATAAATAACATGTCAGTCACCAATCCACTGAATTTTGATTACACAACTATGGGGATACTAAGTGCGAGGAAGGGTGGTTGTAACTTCAAATGGTCACTAAATGAAGTTGTAAGTCAAGGATTACCTGTACCCGTTTAGATTATCCCAACATGTTCGATGGGACATGTTTCCTTTGAAGAGTGTAAATGTGACAGGATAAGAATTCTTGGGCACTGAATTGTGCTGAGCTGTTCTACTTTCCGTTATCCCAATACCAGTCCGTCCTCAAAAATAATCTTTACTAACCTTCTTATGGCTAAAGCCATTTCTTTAATCTCTTTTGGCTTTCTGCTTGAGTGTACATACTGCACAAGCATGATATTATATTGTGTTTATCCCACTAGTTTATCATTACAAATAGTGTCCTAATGTTGCTTTATAAGCCAATTACAAGAATATTTTCAATTCCAAGCATTAATAAATATGATACTTGCTAACAAATGCATGTATCATGATTTGCCTGAAAACCAATGCCCATTCTTAGCAACTGGAAATGCAGATGTTATGAACATGATTCCCAACCTGTTGCCTCTTGCAGACATGCCCTCACTCCATGAGTGCTCTGGGCCCATGGATGGCTACTATAGAAGAAAGGAATTGGGACATAAACCACACAATCAAATGAATAACCATATGCATATGTGTATGAAGTGTATAAGCTAACATGAGTACATCCTGGCATTTCTGCACAGGAAAGCATCTGTGTTACCCTTACGTCTCTGAATAAATTCAGATGACAGGTCCATTTCATTTCTTATTCATTCCGGAGGCCAGATGGCATTAGAATCATTTACTTCACCTTGTTGTGTTTAATTACTACAATCAACACACTATTTTCCAAATTAATCATAACAAAGTAATTTCATTAGTAACCCAGCAGGCTATTGAATTATTAGCATCATAACAGTTTGCAAACAATTAAACTTTATTTGAACCTTAAAAATTTGCAGCATGGAATGTTATTCTAGGATCTAATGGCAGTATAGTATAAATATAGTACAGAGCAAATAAGCAAGATATTACACAAAATATGACTTACAAAATAACTTGTTTGCAAAGAAACACAAGGAAATATAAGTAAATAATGAGAACAAACCAATTAGCATATATTGCCAAATGGGTCGTATTAATGGGGTGTTTTTTTTCAGCCCCTCTTCTCCCTTCTCCCAGATTATGGCATTTGTCCAGCCTTCATAAACAAATATGCCCATCCTTTTATTTTTACTGGTTTAAATTAAAGTATGTCTAGTTAAAAGGTATGAATATAGTATCTTTGAAATGTCTGCACTGTGAATGGTGTGTTTGCTAGTACATGAAAGGAAGGTTAAGAGAACAAAAAATCACTGCTGCCTACATCATCCAATCAATAGGGTTTGTCATTGATCACTTGGCTAAGGACTCCCTCTCCTGGATTAAAATGAAAAAGGGAAAGAAATTCTCCAGATATTTTAAGTTGCAAAAAAATCATTTGAACACCCAAAAAGGGGCTGGGGGATGGGTTTCTCACCAGCATGTGCCGTGAAAGTCTACTGCCATCTTCTGGCAAACTTTGGTAATACAAAAGACTCTTAGATTGACATTATTTCTAGCACTAACAGCGTTTTGGAATAGTGATATAATTCCTTATTTGTCAACTATCATTGCATCTCAGGCATGTCAGGTTATATCCATAAAATTGAAGAATGATTAATCCTTCTAAAAAATTCTTCATTCACCAATGAATGTTCTTAAAATAATAGTCTAGCCAATAGTCTTCAATGGAATTTGTAAAAAAACCCCAAAACAATAAAACATGAGATAAACATTGCAATTGAAAGAGGCTTTTATGCCTTGATGCATACAAAAAATCATTAATCACATGCTAAAACTGCTCCTGGATTATACCACTTTAGAAAGCAATGACGGGAGATTTGTTTAAACCCTTCTCTGCGATGAATTGGATACAGACTTAATGGTGAGACCTTTTACATGTTTCTTCAAAAGCAGACAAGATTTATTTCCTTGTAAGTTCACATAAAATCACAATCTACATTAGATTCATTTAGATCCCTCTGATTGCAATGGGAGTTTATTTCCAATTCCGCCAATTAACCTTCTCCTTATCATATTAGCTTTCTATGAGTAAAGTTTTTAGTTTTTTAAAAAATATATTTATGGAATTATATGCAGAAAATTAATAGCTTCATTATTTGATAAACTATTTGCATGTATGCATAGTAAAAGATAACTAGAAAGATAGAGTAGAATCCTTTTAAAACAACTTAATTTTTCAGCTTATGAGCATTTTATATTTTGAGCTATATTAATTTTAGAAGAATTCGGTCTAATCTTGATCTTTAGCCACCATTAATTTAGAAACAGGAAATATATAAAATAACATTGAGTTATGATATCAATACATATTTTTTTTTGAAATTTATGGCCTCTGCCCCCCTCCAAATAAAAACTTAACACTGAATCCTTCTTGGTTCTGCTCTTTTGAGAGATGCAGATGAAATAGTACAATAGAACTTCAGAGAGATGTTTATTTTAAGTTAGTCAGACTTAATCAAAATGTCAATCTGGAAAAGAGGTTAAGAACATAATACCTGCAGAACTTGAGCATACAGATGGAGGTGATCCCAGGAGACAGCCAAAATATGGAAAGAGAATACAAATACAAGTCACCCAAATATCAATTTTCCTATCTCATAATTTGTTATTATAAGCAAACAAAAGCAGTTTGGACCACTGCAAGGGTTTGTGGATCAACATAATTCTCGCTCTATACAGGAAAAAAAATGAGGAATTTTAGAATAAACAGAATAAACCAAGAGATGGATTTTGCTTAGCATTTTATACTGGACTTATCAAATACATTAATTACTTTAGCAGCCTAATATAATTTCTATTATTGTTGATCATTCCATATGATGAGCTAAGAAGAAAGCTGTGAAGCAATTGAAGCAAAAGAGCTATGTAGAAGTAGCCACTAATCAAGCAAAGTTAGTATTCAAACAAGTTTTTGGAAGAAGCACTTATATTCCTAAAAGCTCTGCTAAGAAAAAAAAATGTGTACCTAAGAATATGTATGAACTGATACTATAATGTGTAATGTACACCTCCTTCAAATATATTAAAAATAGATATATATTTCAATATGCTATCACAGTGTCAAATCATGTATGTGTGTTTGTGTGTGTGTGTGTGTGTGTGTGTGCACGTGTGATTTAAATGTTTAAGATTAAAATGCAAATGAAGGAAAAGGCTTTTCCTTTTCAGTTAAGAAAAAGCAGGTCATAGCAATGTTTACAGAAAAGATCCATTGCCATGTATCACTATGTCAAGTAGAGGCATAAAATCTTGCAAAGATCTTCTGTGATGCACATATTGAAATTAATTAGGCTGATCATCAAAAATTTATTGCAGTTCTCTTCCATTAAATTTCAAGTGCATATAATCAGGTTATGCTCATTTACCAAGTGAGTAATAAATACAACCCTAAATAACTGTATACCATAATAAAGAGCGTCAAAGCAAATAGCAAAACAAAAGTAAAAATGTATCTTCCCAGTCTTTCATTTCATGTAGATCTCTATAGCTTCTTTACAACCTCTACTAGTTGGCTTCCAGTTTGCAGAATCAGCCTGGCTGGAAACAAGAGGAAAATCTTGTTACCAATACGAAAAGGTAGCACATGTTTAAACCATAAGAAATTCTCCACTCCATGTTTTCTTAACCTAAGGGCCTCTAAATACCGGTAGTTTTGGAATATGATCCTCCACTACATGGAGAAACTACATTTCAGGATACACACTGGAAATTTCTTTATTCATTATATTTCTACCCCACCACAATTAATGTGAATGTCCCTAATCTATAGCTTTAATACAATTTAGAAAACAGATTTACAAAAAAATGCACAAACTAGAGGCCTGTTTCCTTCTTTGATTAATACAACAAAAAAATTAAAAAACACCTTCCTTATCAATAAAAATAATTACAGAATATCCTTAGTCTTGGTTACCTGCAGTTCACAAATTATAAGGCAATAACAGGAGATGTGTTTAATGCACCCTACAAGCCCTATATATTCTCATTTTTAGTCAAATAGTAACACTCTATGCCCTAACCATGCAGACGTTCTGCTCATTTTCTCCAGTAATTAATCAGAATAGAAAACCCCTCAGTCCCTTGCACTGGTGGACAGTAGAGCCACAACATAATGTAACAACTTCATGTGACAAATGACTGAATCTTATCCTATTAATGTAGAACAACAACTTTACAAGATTTCAATTGATTAGCTTTATTTTCATAATTAAGCAATGAGTCCTGTGTCTAAACTAAATGAAGACTGCAAAAGTGAACAAGAAAGACTGGTACATAATTCTTCTCAGCTTGCAATTTCAAATTTTTAAAAAATTGGGGAAGGGGAGAAGAGTCTATGAACTGAAACAAGAATGTTTCTTAAATTAATTTTAGAACATCTGGTTATGTAAACAAATCCTTGAAAACAGTATGTGGCACCACCATCTTTGTCCACATGGTCTGGAACCTATTTAAATCATTGGTAGGATAAGAAATTTGGGTGAACAGGAGTACAATTATAACTTCAACAGAGCTGGCATTTGTACTGAAGAGGGCTAGATTGAAAAAAAAATCTTTGGAACACACAGATATGGACTTGTAACACCTGTCTGTCTGCAGCATCTCTCTTTTGCAAGGATGCAGCTGTTGAAAGCTCCTACCGTACATTCTTAGAAAAAATGCAGCCGCTTTAGGCTGCTGCATGGAAGTCCTATAAGAACATCTCACAGGCTCCAAAACACATTTTTGTATCCGGAGAATTGCACAGCCCTAATATTAGGCACACATGGGTTATCGGCAAGGCGGGTTGTATGAGTTCCGACACTTTTTTTTTTTTTTTTTACAAAAAAAAGCACTGGTCTGTATGAAAAAATGAGGAAAAGGAATGTGCTTACCTTTTTAAATCTCTACATCTACACTATGAAGAGAGGAAAGAGCTGGGACCATTTTGAAAAATACAATTGCTTACATGTCCTGCTTCAGTGTTCTAAATAGTCTGTTCCTGGGACTCTTTAAATATAATTAATAAAATGAAGGTCAAGTATTGGTGTGATATAGAGCACACAGGATATTGGAGAACATTTTTGCTATTCCTAGAAACATAGTATTTTATCTGATGTAAAAATTACAGATCTTTTTTCTCCTCCAATCCCAAGAAAGACGTTAAAGATTCCAGGAAAAGAAACATATAAAACAGAGTAAAACAACTTATAAACCATTACAGAAAATTGAATTAAAATGTACTTACTCTTTCCTCTCAAATATCATACATCTCCATTATGTAGGCTTTAGGCACCAAGCCAATGGTTCCTTTCATTTCTCCTACCCACCAGCCAAATCTATTGTACTCCTAATTGAAAACAATATGCAGTATTAACTTTTAGTCTGATATGAATGCAACAAGAGTTTTGCATAAGACTCAAGTTTCCTCCTTATGTACAGTTATAAGAGCATGAATGGAAAATTAAAATGTTAAGGAAGAGCATATGAATGTTGTACGCATGACTTTCTCAAGCACTTGAAATGCAGTTAGGGCTAAGACAGGAAATTACTCTTTAAATAGCTAGGCATCTGTTTCTATGTCTGAAAAAAGATTTTTTTAAAAAAGCTACTTACTTATCTATGGATCCTGCAAGCCATATATACTCAATGAGACAAGAATGTGATTATATCATATGTGTTTTGTTAGTATTTCTTGATATGGTAATAAACACTTTTTAAACAAAAAAGGAAGATAAACCCTGGATCTCTAAACATGTTCAATTGGAAATATTTTTCCAGTTGTAGGTAACTGCTGCAGTCTTCCTTGTAATGCTACTTTTTAATTTAAAAAAGGTACACATTATAGAGGCATTTTTCAGAAGTGTTCAAATTGGACTCATCTTTATTTGTCTCTATTTTGTTTTGATTTCACTAATAAAAACATAGTGCTTTATTACTGTAAATACACGCAGACACACAAACATACAGTATTTCATAAAAATGTATATCCACTGGTACCAACTCAGAAATAGTTTAACAAAGTTGAAAAAGATCGTATGTTATTTTTTTGTTGAATTCATATAAAATAATTGCATATCATTACCGCTGCTCTGTGTTAACCAATGCTTCCTGCCATAAAATTTTATCACAGATCTTATATGCCTGACAAATGACTAAATGCATTTTGCTTTGAATTTTGTTTAGGCGTAGCAATATGAATCCAAACCAAACCAAGTATATGAAAGTTTAAGGAAACAATCTTTTCCAAAAGCAATACCAAATAACAGAGATCCAAATGTAATTGTTTTTGTCCCTGGAAGGTAAATATTGTTATGATTAATCCTAACAGGAGCTCAATAACTTTCAGCAACTGAAAATGAATTCCAGTAAATTATGTGCCAAAGGAAACAGAAGAAAACAGATTCCTTGTTCAAAAGACAGACTGACAGTAAACTGTATAAAAAAGTGAAGGAAAATAGAAAAGACCTAAAGAGCATTCTGCTGCATTGGGTTGTGTTTGCCAGTCTGTTTTTACCTGAAATTAAGCATTAATGTGTTCTGATGGAATTTAGGCATTATATGGGATGCAAATTCACCTATCCTTCCATAGCATTTAAGGGAATAGAAACAGCAAGGTACCAAAATTACTTCCATCCCTTCCAGGGCTTTCTTCAAATGATCTGATTAACTTGTGCCAGATCTATTAACCCTAATCTATTAACAGCCCATATATGCTTTCTATCCCCTGCTATCTTCAGTTCACATTTGTTTCCTATCTACTCCTATCCATTAACCCCGTTGCTCATAACCTCAAATTTGCCTTTCTTCCTGAGGCTGTCTCTCTCTACCTCCTCTCATCTCACGTCCACCTTAATTTCTAATTTGGCAAAAACACTTAGGGAAAGGTTTTCCAGATTATGCTGTAACATAAAGTACCAGCGATTTTTGTTTTAGTTTTGATAATGAGGACAATTCTATGTAGTGGGGAAAGTTAAGACTTCTATAAAGTTGAGATATTAAAAGCCAATACCCTCATTTAACCAAAGGGCACAACAATAAACCACATCTCCAAGTTCTGCTTTTATCTCATTTGCCATCAGGATAGAAGAGGAGCTCCAAAGAAAAAACTTTTAACTTCTTTATTCCCCCATGGCTATAAATGATGCTAGTTCACCAGTGCAATTCAGCAAGCAAGTTTGCTTACATGCTTACAGTAAGAATGACTCTTGCTGGACTGATTATTCTGGGGCCAAAACCCTTAAAGGCAAGAGGCACTTGCTGTCTCACCAGGGGGTTCAGATGTTCCAGCTGTGTGTGTTTGTTTAATAAACACGTTTCATTCCACATTAGCCTGCTTAAATACACAAACTACAGTCTCTAGAGATTTAAAATGCAAGTAATCACTCATAATGCCAGTCCTCACCTGTGTTAGAGGAATCTTGCCAAGGAAGCTTTCCAAAATAACTTTTTTTTTTTTTTTTGTAAATGTGGGCTGGAGAACAGGGCAGAAAACAAACACGATGTTTTGCAGAATGCTTTTTTTACTTAAGGGATCATTAAAGCTTTTTATGACAGAATGGAAATATTCCGTGTAGATATTTCAGGAAGTTAGAAACAACATATTCTGAGGGTGATAGGAGGACGAACCTCAGGAGCCACAAATTAAAATAATAAACTTTCGCTCCCCCCCCCCCAAAAAACACCATCTTGCCATTGAAGAATATTTATATTTAATGCACATGTCTGATTTAAAATATTATGGCAGTGGAAGTGTAATAGTATCAGAAGTTAATTTATGGATAGGCTTCAGACACTGAAATCTTACTTTATCATTACCATTCTTGATACAAACCCCACAAGCAATCTGAATCCCAATTAAAGCATATGAAATATAAGCAGGAAAGAAAAAATGAACTGCTATATTGGAAATGTAATGTTTTAGTCTTAGGTTACTGCCATCACCACAGAGACATCCATTTTTAACTAGTTCATTTGTTTACACCCCTTTCTTAAAATGTGTGTAACTTTTGTATGTACTTACAAGACAATTTGACCATGCTTTTACATCATCTTTAGAGATACATTACTTTCAGCAACAATAAAAGGCAACTGATTTTGGCTAGTAGCTACCTTCAGAGTCATATGCTAGTTCTGCGTATGAATACACACACAAATATAAATGAATGGAACTTAACAGTCACCTCTAAAGAAAACCCAAGTATTATTGTAATTTCAATTACAATATTATTTTATAGATTGCCAGGCATAGATTATTTATTTATCTAAAATATTAAATCAATTAATCAATTAAGAACAAATCAGATTACCAACAAGATTCATATGTAATCATTTTCTACAATTTAATGTTCAGAGTCAAAATAATCTGTTATTTTGGTGATCCTTAAGTCCATTAAATTTATTTAAGAGATTATGAAGTATTGCTTATGAAAGTACAAAATGCTTAAGGTGGGACTTGAATTTAAATATCAGGCAACCTCAACAGTCAAATATTTAATTGTAATGAATAACAAATATAGTATGAATATTACATACAACCTAATTGTTCATATTCTATTCAAATATAGATAAACCTAGTATCCTTAATTCTTCTATACGTCTAGATATACTGTATATTCTTCCCATCAGTTGCTTTGGCAACTGATTCTGCTTCAGAAAGACTGATAAAATAATGAAGAGTCCTTTAATCTATAAGAAACCATTCTAGTCAATTTACGAGAATTATTGCATTCCTTTGTAGGATGTGTAATTATTTTCTATTAATCATGTACTATGAAGCTGCATTATGTGGCTATTCTGTTATCACTGGAAAGAAGCCTGCAGTCAGCTCCCAACAATGTTAGGTAATTACTAACACAAAGCTTCTTTCTCCTTCTAGAGAAATTCTATCAAGATCTAGAAGCACTGTAATGCTTTATTGCATGAAAGTAACCATGAAAGAAATTAAAGACCTATATAATGAATTGCTTAACAACAAATGTGCAGGTGAGAAAAGGCTAGTGGAAGAAAAGGGAAGAAAAATGCTTTTAAATTTGGAAGAAGCGGGTTCAAATTTCTCTTACTCAGAGTAAACTCAAATAATGTAATTTTGCTACTGTTAATCTATTTCAATTGGTCTACTTCCTAATCCAAAATAAATCTATGAGAGTCCTCTAAAGTGATGTTTAAATGCACGTGTGTACATGCACACACGCACACTATTATGATCATCATTATCATGGAAGGCATCCAAATTTCAGGACTGTAATAATTGAGAGTGTTATTATCCTAATGTTTTTGTAATTAAAAGTCCTACACCAAACAAAGTTCTGTTAGACTCCTCTTTGTCTGTAAAAAATGTTTCCATGGACAGTGCTCTGTCTTTAATACATACTTGTGATTTTGTGTGCACTTTTGTGATGAAACAGCATGTCAGAATGAATGGGTCAGATCCAACTACATGAAGCTTTAGTTCCATTCAGTATTTTCCTTAAATTAGTTCCACTGATTTCCATTTGATTATAGGTACTGACAAAGGCTGCAGTTCCTACATTGCATAATACTAGATTTACTTCCAAGAAACAGATTCCACAAAATATCCTTCTTTCAGCATTCAAGGTGATTCATAACAATTACTTGATTTAACCTCATACTAGGAGATGAAAAGTTTTATATATTTTTTAAAAATATATGGCAAACTAAATGAGTATGACAAGCACAAAAATCCTTAATGAATGTTTAGCATTGGAATACTATATGACCACAGATTCAAGAAAAGGCAGCCCACTTGCTATTGGAAAGCTCCGTGTGAAGCGATCTAAATACAGACTAACTGCAGATTTTGGATTCGGTGCTGATTATGGTATCTTTAAATGCTTCAGATATGAACTAAAAGTCCTATAATCCAGATGCACAAATTTACTGAGTATGCTGGAACAGCAAAGCCTCATAGAAATATGGATCTGTGGGGGATGGTTTGAAATCGGCAAGCAGTTTACTGTAACTGGAAACAAAAATACATGATCATGATTTCTAGTAAATTACTGCACACTTTTTCAAAAAGCAATTTCAATATATGCTTCAGATACAGTCCAGAATAAAAAGGCCACGTTGCACTGCATTTAAAAAATGAAAACCAAGGTTTTGTTCTATAGATTATTTTAATAGATTTCTATGATTTCGTTAGGCAAAAATTAAGATAGCAGATTTATTTTGGTTTTTCTCAGAGTTAATCTTGACCAAAATCAAATTCTTCTACTAAAAAAACAATACCATGTTATATGTCAAAACTCTACAGGTAGCCATATTATCTGAGTCATGGAAGTTGCACTCTTATTAAATATTATTATTCTTAAAATAAATGTGCAAATGATGACCCATAGAGTAACTGATCATATGAAACACATGTCCAAACCCCAATTTCTGTTATTAATAAAAGAATAAAAATACCAACCATGTTGCCTTATAATTGTATATTCCAAGCACATGAATTGCTCAAATTTACAAATTAAAATCATTTTGACCTTGACAGAGTAATTTTCAACTTTCTCACCTTATAAGGTGCTCATATAAAAGCACTGGAAATCCTGATAATATGTACATTTATAGTGAAAATTATATTTATACTGTTTGTGAAATGGAAACAGTAGGATATTAAGTGTTAAATCAGCTTTTTCAGTTTCAGGTGCATTTGCTTTTAAAGAAGTGTAACACATATCACTCATTCAATTGGTAACAAAAATTCCTAGAAACACTAAATCATGACATGGGTTTCCCCCTGTAGTTTTATTTTAACACCAAAATATTGATTTCAATTGTTATATTTTAAAAATGAATTCTGGTTCCTTGTTTCTACATTAAATTCTTTCTCATGGGAATAAGATTTTATCAGAATTAATGTCAATAAGGGTCTGATATATAATGAGGGAATAGTAAGTAATAACTAAGATGAAGTCGAAGTTAAATTTCTGTCACCACTTTTGAGCACCACACATTAACCAGTGCACCTCTAATTTTCAACCACTAGATGGGGTAAAGAATTATTTTTCTAAAAAAAAAAATCCCAAAACAAGAATCACCAGGTGCCAAAAAGCTAAAGATTTTATAGTCTTAAGAAATATTGACAGCTTTAAGAAACGTTTGATCAAGTTCTTAAGCTTCAAAGGCTTTAGATTATTTTACCTTAGCAGTACTCTTAATTCTTTCTCTGGCTAATAACTCTCAGAACTGGATAAATTATTATCCTGTGCATTTTTGCTTCCTAAATTCAGAGCTGAAGTATTTACAACAGCAATACTCAAACTGAAAAAACAAGTTGAATTTTGATTTAAATTTCTTTTCAGTTTTAAAAATTAAGAAACTCAAAATATAGCCAAGCTGCAAGATCTCAATCAAAAGCCAAAGATTCCAAATACATTAACGAAGGATTAGACAGGTTAGAGGACAAGGGAACTCCAACTAATATTCCCTTTTATAATGGAACCTTTTTCAATCCTGAGTTAAATAACAATGAATCTCACTATTAAAAATGGTATAAAACTACTTTTAAAAAATCTAGGAGCTTAATTACAAGAACCCTAAAAATTACTTAGTAGAAGAAACCTACAAGTTAGTTACAAGAAACAAACAAGGTATTACTAGACACCAGCATTTGTCAAAAATAAATCTTGCCAGCCAAACCTTATTGCCTTCTTTGATAAAATGACTAAATTAGTGGATAAGAGAAATGCTATGGACATAGTTTACTTAGACTCCAGTAAAGCATTCAACAAGTAGACCTTAGCCTACTTCTTGGTAAGACAGAAAAATGTGGGGTAGACAGTATCATCACCAGATAGATTTGCAATTGGCTAACCAACTATACTCAGCATGTAATCCTCAATGGAACTAGATCTACATGGAGTGGAATTCAAGGCTCTCTCTTGGAGCCAACGCTCTTGAACTTCTTCATAAATGGTCTAAATGAGGTGACAGAGGGGAACTTGTTAAATTCGCAGACAACACTAAGCTTGCGGAGGGAGAATAGCGAACACCTAAAGTGTTAGACTCAAGATAGACTCAAGACTCAGGAGGATCTTGACAGATCTGAACACTGGGCCCTATCCAACAAATGCAATGAGTGAGAAAAGTGAGCTTCTACACATAGGCAAGAGAAACCAAATGCACAGGTATAGAATAGGTGGTACCTGGCTTAACAGTAGTAACTGTGAGAGGATGTAGGTATCCTAGAAGACCACCATTTAAGTATAAACCAGCAGTAGATTGCAGCTGCTGAAAAAGCTAATGCTGTCTTGGGCTACATTAACAGAAGAATAATTTCAAGATCAAGTTCCAAGAAGTGATAATACCACTTTAGATTGTACTAACTAAGCCACACTTGGAATACCTGCATCCAATTCTGGTCATCACAATACAAAAAAGATGTCGAAATCCTAGAAAGAGTGCAAAAAAAGCAACAAAGATGAAAAGATGTCTAGAGACAAAATGGTATGATGAACGATTGAGGGAATAATCTAATCTAATGAAGAGAGGACCAGGGGTGATATGATAGCAGTCCTCCAGTACTTGAGAGAGTGTCACAGAGAAGAAGAGCTCAGCCTATTTTCCAAGCCACCTGAGAGCAGTAAGAAACAACAGATGGAAGATCATTAAAGAGAAATCCAAACTAGAACTAAGGAGAAATTTCCTGTCAGTGAGCACAATTAATCAATGGAATGGCTTACCTCCAGAAGTTGTGGGTGCTCTATCACTGGAGGTTGTTACAAAGAGACTAGACAGCTATTGTCCAATGGTATAGGACAGTGGTTCTCAACCTGTGGGTCAGGACCCCATTTGGAGTCGAACGACCATTTAACGGGGGTCGCCAAACAACGCAGTCTGCCATTTTTTCCCCCTTTTCCTTAGCTGTACTACTCCCTTTTATTCTATTGGCTTTCAAAAGCCAATAGGAATTGTCCAGGCTGCCTCTGCCCTGCTGAGCCCGCCAAAAGTCCCATTCTGCAAACGGTGCTGCACCAGTTGAGTTGTCCTCGACTTACGACCAGTTGAGTAGTCCTCGACTTACGACCGGTTGGGGGTCGCGGCATTAAAAAGGTTGAGAACCACTGGTATAGGATCTCCTGCGTGAGCAGAGGGTTGGACTAGAACACTTCCATGGTCCCTTCCAAACCTATTATTCTATGTTTTATATTCTAAATTGGATTAGCCTTTAGTTTATACTCAATTAAATGACAATTCTTGAATGCTAAACATTAAATATAATCCAATGTACTGTTTCTTAAAAATAAACCCACCCATTTTGTTCAAAGGGGCTTCTTCTTAAATATCAAATAGGAAGATTGATAGGAAGATTGCTCTGTCTTGCTCTGTCTAGCAACCACCTACCAAATTAAATAATGCAAAAGGAGGAGGTAAAGCGTGATCTACATGTAAATAATGTTGCATCAAACTCTTCTTCTATTAGTAACATATTTTGTTTCCATCTGTAATATGAGATTAAAATATTTTTCATCCAAGGATTGTCAGGAGGGCAGATCTGATAAACAACCCTACTAACCATAAGGTTAGTAGAACACATGAGTTACTTAGTTGTTAGATTTACAACAAGCAAAACAAATTCATTGTCAGATTATCATAAGCAAGACTACATCTTCTTGGATCACTTCTAGCTATTCTTAGCTCGAATGGGAAACATTCTGCACTTTACTATTACGAAGGCATGGCTCAGAGAATATTATAAAAATATTAGCCTAGAAACTATTGACATTCTTAGGAACATATTGGATGAAAACTCTGATGTCATAAGTAATCTCTGGCTTTGGTATGGTAGCAATTTTAAAAAGTTCTGCAAAGATTTGCACATTGTGGCTTAAAAAAAAGGGTGTGTATGTGGGAAAATGACCTAACTACTTTTCCATGCAAACTTATCTGAAAGGTGTAGTGCTATTGAGTGGTTCAAGGCAGCAGCCAACTCCCAGATAAAGTTGCTATTAAACCTTTCTTCACAATAAAATAATGTGAGGTTTTTAGTCTTATATGATCTCTCTCTCTCTCTCTCTCTCTCTCTCTCTCTCTCTCTCTCTCTCTCTCTCTCACACACACACACACACACACACACACCAGTATATTCAAGAAGTACCAAAGAAAAGGAAGTAAAACATATACATTCACATCCACTTCATACTATATTGACAAAGCTACATTTTACAAGCAATAAGAGCATTGTCTCAGCGGGAAGTTACTTAGTGGTGGGTAACCAAGATTCCAAACAGAGATAAATAAGTTTTAAAGACAATTCCTGTTGCACAATAAAACTTCAAATGTGGTTACATTAAATTGACAAAATAATTAATGTGCAAGGAACTTCTCACCAAGTGTGAAAGATGCAAAGGAAATGCCCATTTCCTGACGACCTTGAAGTTTGCTTTTTTTCCCCTTTGGTTTTATTTCAACTATGTCCCCATACCTATCTTTTAGGGGTGGAATACGGTACCTTACTGAGAATGTAGATAACATCACCACGTTTGAATGACAGCTCATCAGGAACATCCCCAGTGCAGTCCCATAAACCTTGATAGAAATTAACATAATCGGTTTTTTTATTGCCTGGGGAAGAAAGAGATGCATACATTAGATTTTTGAGCCTGATTGCTGCTCTGATGAAGCTTTTCTTCAGAGTTTTTTTTTTTTTAAAGAGTACATCTACCTTTGGTTTTTACTATTCTTTCTAAGCACAACATAAAAAAGCTTCTTTTTCATTGTAAAACTTAGCTCTCTACGTCTTCTTTGCCACTTGCTACAGTATTCATTTTCACACATAAAATGTGAAACATTGCTGCTGACCTTAGAAAAACATTTGGCAACAGACAAACAAATGTTTCCTTGAAGTCTGGGTTTTAGGAGGGAGGGTGGAATCTTTGAAAATTTCACTCTTTTTGAGATCTAGCACAAAACCATTGTAGATATTTCTGTAGACAGAATCTTGCTGAAGCTGCATTTTTAAAAGAAATGTATTTGTGTCAGCAACACTCTTTAAATATAAACTCATCCTTCTAAGAACATAAGCACAATGAATGTGCTACGTTCTAACTGCCATACAGACCATTAACTGATAGATTATTTTAGCTCTGTTTGTTCTGTAATGCCACAATAACAGCATATTAAATGCTTTGTCATATGCATACCATACACCAAAGCATTTACTGGAGCACGCAAGGCAATACCACTAAAATATACTGGAAGCTTCTGCATGCATGGCAGACAATTTCCTGTTTTCAGGTCCATAAGGAGTGAACTGACTGAGTTAACCCACCAAGAATGCAGAACATCCCCAATGAGGCAAACAGCTGTGATAGGGTTACACAAACCAGACTAGATGCAAATGTATTCACCGTCTGCATTTTTTTGCTCAAAGATAAGGATCGTGCAATTGATTAGATTATATGAGAAAGTATCTCAATTTTATTAAGGAGACAAAATGCCACTCTGCTAATAGACAGAATGTTATTTTCATGTCATTTAACCCTCCCTCCACTGTTATGTGTAGCTTTCTGAACAAGATGGAAAATAACTGCTACATATGGAAAAATCATTCCCATTTGCATGACAGAAATAGCATTTTAGAAACTTAGAGAGCCTTTGGTTGTATAGACTGTACACTTGACCCATAAAATAAAAGCTATATTTACATTTTACTACTTCTTAGTGCATTTGGAATGTAATGTGGATTTCTTTCGCTACTTCCTTCATTATGATTTATAGGGAGACACAGTCAAATGTCTCTACTGAAATACCTCAACTCTACCCCAACAAGAAATAGATAAATAAAATCATAAAATAACTTGATCGCATTGCTCCAAAAAAAGGAATATTTTAACTGCCATTATATAACACTAGAGGGCGCTCGGGATCGGTTGTGCAGTCATAGTTCATTTTTGACAATTATTATTTTTAGTGCAATTTGTTCATCCTATATTAATTACACAAGCAAACACATACATACTTTCATACTTTATTAGGATATATTAGGAACTTAAGAGTAAAGTAAAATCTCTTTATGGAAACCAGAACATATTCTGCTCCTTCCCCATCTCCCCTTTGCAGATTTCAAACAGAAAACAGAACGTATTCAGGAATAAATGGTAGGTATATATGTACTTTCAGACGAGTTCGAGAAATTCTCTAATATCCTAAAAGACCCCAAGGGTTTTGATGGAAAATATCGCAGGGTGAATCTATGACATCTCCAAGTGAAGTTGACAAAGACCTCATTATGAAACTGTTTCCAATTTCTGTAAGTAGCAGGAGGTTAAATTACCTAAGGATTCAACAACATCTCCCAACCATGGAGTATCTTACTGATTTTCCAACTTTATGTTAAGAAGGGGAACAAACACATGTAACTTAACTGGCTGGGTCGTTAATTCATAAAATCATGATTGGCTCTTGTTTGAAAGGGTGTCTCTACAAGCCATAATCTTTAATACCAATAAAATATTTAGATTACATTAAATAAAAAATCAGACTGCTAATCTGAAACAAAAGCCATTGAGATCCTCAGCTCCAACATATGTTATGAGTGGAATTCCTGAATTTAGTCTACAAAAACAGTTTTAATTATTTTATTTGTTTGTTTGTTTGTTTGTTAAATTTATAGGCCATCATCTTACCTCAAGGATAATTATGTGGCATTTATTCCTCTAGGATTATTCAGTGTACCTAAGCTGAAATCATGTTGATGTTCATAAGACGAAAATGCTTCCATTTTTTGAACTTAAGTACTCTCATGGTCTATACCAGGGGTGTCAAACTGCCGGCCCGTGGCCCGGATGCATCATCGGGAAACCACGCCCACCCCATTGCCGGCAATGGCGAAAAAGCTCCAATATGTTGCACGATATCACATGATGTTGCGAGTTTGACATGTCTGGTCTATAGTGATGGGTCATTAGGTTTTAGGAAATAAGAAATGGCTTAAAATACTTAAGACATATTTTAAACTGGCTTTAAAATAATTATTTTAAGATGATTTTGCACTTTATTAATAGTTACATTTAACTTCTGTGGCATGACAGTTAGGGCACTGAACAGTTTCAAATACTTACTAGTTACACAGAGGTCAGTGAGTGACTTTGTGCAGTGCTGAATCTCAACCTAAGCATCTCACAAGAAGATTGTATGAGAAGAAGAAGCAGCCTATTCTCACCTGTGCTACTTTGATGTGTTCAGGGGAGCAGTAAGATTTAAATATATATCATCTTTATCAAGTCATATAGTCAAATGGATAGTCGAGATAATACTAAACAATAAAAAATAAGAGATCTAAAATAACCCTTATTAACCTGAATAACTACTTCAAAATTTAATACATGCCAGGCACTTCCTTGAAGATATAAAGCTGTAATTTAAAGAGAAAATTGAAGTATACAGTGAGAGGATAGTCATATTAGAAGTATTAAATCTTAAATGAAAAAGAAATCAAATGAAATTAATTTTCTCCTGCCCATAAATTATTTTTTCTATACAGACCGCAACACAGAAAAGGCGATCTAAATTATCATGTTCATATCAAATAATATGCATATTTTCCTAAATGAGATCTTAATTAACATTTCCTGAAGCCTCAGAATTTCTACATCAACTGTATAAGCCATAGAGAACTGACATTACATCTAGTATTGTAGCCAATGCATGGGCTAAAAGTTTGCTCTCAACTTTTAATATGTAACTTAAAGTCATTCTTTTGAACAACCCAAGTCTCTCAAAAAAACAAAAATAACGAACAGAGCCAGCTTGGTGCATCAATAAAGTGTTGGACTAAGAATGGAGATCTAGGTTTCCAATTCACCCTGAGCCATGAAAACTTTGGCTGACTTCAGGCCACTCATTCTGTCTTAGAGTTTCTCAATCTTAGCAACCTGAAAATGTGTGGATTTCAGCTCTCAGCATGTTGGTTGGAGAATTCTGGGAACTGAAGTCCACAGAAACTAAAGTTGCTAAACTGAGAAACACTATTTTAAATCAACCTATCTCAGATTGGGGGAAAGAGAAAGGAGTGCTATCTATGCCATCTTCAGCTTCTGGATGAAAGGCAGAATATAAAACTAATAAACAAAAGAGTTCCTGTTCTTTGCTGGAAGGCAAAGTCAAAAGCTGAGGCTGACAAAAAGCTGATGGAACAGAGCAGAGAATCTGAGAGACATTTGCTGTTTTGCAAAAGAGTTTGAGAAGCAAGAAGAGCAACAGGAAAAAGTGCAGAAGGAAATGCTTTCTTATAGAAGCTGCTGCAAACAGAAAGAGGGTAAAAAGACACCATGAAAGCAGAGTAGGCAGAAAGAAATGGCATGGAGAGGAAAGTCTGGTTTAACCATCCTCTCTTTGCAAAAACAACGAAATTAACAGATAAAAATACTGAGACAGAGAGCTTTTCTTTGCAGGTGGTTGAAGTCATTCAAATGAGTAAACATGAGGAGGAATAAGAAGTAAGATCCCTCTAAGGTGGAATAGCTGCATGCCCAACTAGGAATGTTGGAATAATGTTGCTGAACTTTTATTCCATCTAGATTTCTGTGTTCTAGCAGGAATAAGTGAAAGATTGATTGAGAAACACTTTTGTAACCCAAGGAATCACTCTGGCTACCATGCTTATATTCTTTTCTTTCTAACCAGGACATCTAATTCATAGCACAATGAATAAGATAACCTTCTCACATAGCAGGAATATAGCACATATTTCCCCTGTTATTCTCTTATCTTCATTTAGAGTCCAAAGTGTCCAGTCTCACCTGATATTAATATCCTGAGAAAGGAGTTTGTCTTTTCATTCTTTAAACTTTAAAAAAGATTCCAAGCAGCAATTAATCCATTTTGGAACAACACAGTTTTTTCTTATGTGTAGCTTACTTGAAAGGGCCTGAGGATGGAGTCTACTAACATGTTTTCTAACAGTTCCATCTCAACTTCTATGTGTACTTGAGGGAGACAGATAAACAGATTTTGGGATGTTGGAAACAGGTTATCAAGAATGTTTAACCAATGAAACACTCTGCCTTCTGGAATTATGGATGCTCCATCGCTGGAAGAAAGGACTCTTGCTTGAGCAGGAGTTTGTGCTGGATTCAAGACCCACTCCAGACCTATGATCCTATGATCCTATATAGTCAATATTTTAAAAAGAATATTTTGATTTAGGAAATGTGGTCAATAGCTTCACAATAAAATCAAGGTGATTCAACATTTTCCTCTATATAAAGTATCTTGATCTGCAAATTGTTAATAGCTTATTGTTTGTAATGTTAAAATGACCATTTATCTGAATACAAATGGATTAAACTTGTTCCAGGGTTGATTCAGAATCTATGCAATCTAAAAAAAACACAACTTTATTTTCTTATTGAAAATCTCCAGTTGAAGCAACATACTGTTCTAGGTAGACATCCTTGGAATTGCTTTCTAAATGTTATTTCTGCTAATTGTAAATTATTTCCTTCTAAACATACAAGTTTTTGATAAGAACCTGCCAAGAATTGGGAGGAGAAAAATAACATCCTTCTCCATGAAATTTCTTGTAGGTTAACATTTCTGACATCTCTTCCCATTATGCTTTA